ACCCCAGTTTTTGATTCAGCAAACGCTTTTCCTTGGCAGCTGCCAGCTTCTCCCGTAGCTCTTCACGCTGTCGCAAGGCCATGGGGTTGATGACATCAGCTGCCACGGGCTCCTCTTTGGTGCCCGCCTCTGGAAGGGGGGCCCAGACGTGAGGCTATGCTTGCCCATGGCTGGTGGGGAGAGGAGGGAGCCACTCACCCTGCCCCTTCCAGCTCAGGGGCCAGAAGGGGCCAGGAGAGGGGGAAGACCTCTTTCACCTCCCTATTCCTACCTCACCCCCCACGTCTGTCACTCCACATGGTATGACAGGAACTCTCCCCTCTATGCCTTCCAAAGCTTCTCAGATCATGTGGGTTTTTTCTGTTAGTTTGGTTTTGTGGTGTGCATGTTTGTTTGTTTTTAAAACAAAAACCAATACCACTTAGACAGCCTATAGCAACTATGCATATCCCTTAGCCTGTCTAAAGCCAGGCTGAAAGCGCCGAAGCCACACAGGAAAAGCACATCTCAGATCCTCTCAAGACACAAAGGACAAGCCTTGGCCCTCTGACAAAACATACATAAGGCTTCTAAATGGAGTTTCTTCCCACTTAGATGCCCCAGCTCAGCCCCTCTCCTCAGCTTTACACTCACCTTTCTTGACAGCATTGACTTCCAAGGGTTTCAGCCCCAACTTTGCACGGAGTTTACTGAAGACAAGAGTTAGAAGTATTAGAGTCTACCTTAAAAAATGGGGTAACGAGTTGGGTGCTGGTGGCACAAGCCTTTAATCCCAGAATTTGGGAGGCAGAGGCAGGTGGATCTCTGTGAGTTCAAGGCCAGCCTGGTTTACAATGCAAGTTCCAGGACAGGCTCCAAAATAATACAGAGAAACCCTGTCTCGAAAAACCAAAAAGAAAGAAATGGGGTAACAAGTGAGATGAGGTGAGTATGAGTAGTTCTAGCTAATAAGCACAGGCCCTAATCCCAGCAGCTTAGGGATGAAGAAGACAAGGGCTTCCAGAACAGGGAATGCCTAATGAGGGAAGATTATCCTTCCTCTTGGGTCTGAGTTTCCTCCATGTAGTTCCAATGGTTGGCGAACTGACTTATCTGGCCATTCCAACTCTAACTGGCTTCACTTAGAGTGAAAAAGTTTCTGTAGGTTAACAGCCCCAAGTGCTGGTTAGTCTCAGAGGAAAAACAGAACAGCATAAGGGCTACTCACTTGGTCTCCTCGATGCTAAGCGATGAGGCATCTCCAGAGCTAGTTTTGGAGCTGGCAGCTAGAACAAAGAAGGAGCATGGCTTAAGGGACCCATGAACATGGGACTAAGAAGCAACACCGTGGTCTTCAGCTGCAAGGTCGAAGACAAGGGCCCCTCAGCAGCACCTGGGTAGATGACACCAGAAAGCAGCAGCCTTCTTCCCCCAGACTCCCCAGCAGCTGCTACCCAGGCCCTTCTTTCTGACTCAAGCTGTTCACCTTTCTGCATCCCTCACTGTCCCACTCCAAATCTCCACACTCTACCTTCAGCCTCCACAGTCCCTCCTGCTCTTGTTCTCAAAATGTTCTATCAAAAAAGCAAGTATAATCTCCTCCATGAAGCCTGTTCAATTACTGACCAGAAATTAAAACTCTGCCTAGAATTGCACAGCATTGTTTGTCATTTCTGGCACTTTCTGCCCACAGTAGTATATGCAGTCAATGAATACTTACTAGAGCATGTTCCATGCCAAGTGTTGTGCACATAGGAAAATAAGTACCCAGGACCTGATCTAGCCACCTCACAAAAAGGAGAGAACTTCAACAAACACTATACAGGACAACCAAGTCCCTGTCACACACTTACTGTTCTTTAAACCTTCCTCCTCCACGTAGGTCTGAACCCCATTTTCTATATGAACTCTGAAGCCTCAAGTCTTCCTTTTTCCAATTAGCAGATTATTTAAAAAAAAAAAAAAAGTGTCAATTTGGGGGCTGAAGAGATGTCTCAGTGGATAAGAGCACTTGCTGTTCTTGCAGAAGACCCAGGTTTGGTTCCAATAATAATAATAATATATATATATACATATATATGTATATGTATATGTATATATATACACACACACACACACATACATATATATATAGCAGCTCAGAACCATCTCTCAGTTCCAGGGGATCCAATGGCCTCTTCTGACAGGCACCAGAAATGCACCAAGTACATATTCACACATGAAGGTAACCCTTTAAAAGTGCTGGTTCTTCATGAAGCCCTGTGGTGTGTGATGCTGTTAACCACTCCATCTTTTCTCTCTTTGCACAGATCCTGTGATCCAACTGTAGTGTTCCTGCCATTTGGCTACCTTTATTTTTTAAGTATGTTTCTCTGCCCACAACTGAGCTACTGGCATTTACCGAGTTCTACTTCTGACCCTAGTTCTTACTCCACACATTCTAGGGCAATTTTTTCGTTTCCTGAATACACCCTTTACCCAAATCACCCTATTCCACATAAACTGTAGGTTTTCTTATACACAGCGAACAAAGCTCTCCTAAACTGTGTCATTCTCCCTTGCCTCAAATCCGCTAGTCTTCTAAAGGCCCATTTCAACAGATAAAAACTGTTCACCAGGCCGGTAAGGTCAAAACTCAAGGAGACATTCCCTATTCCTTATCCCTGCCATCCTCAGCCCATGCACTAAATTTTGTTCATTCCAATTCCTAAACACCCATTCAATCTTTCCACTTCTCTCCACCCCACTGCATGGAGAAACATGCATACTCAATATTCGTCCTCACCTGGTTGGCTCTCTGGGTCTCTAGTCCTATTTTTGACAAGCTCTCATCCCAGTGATCTTCTTAAAATACGAAGTAAATCAACTCACTTCCCTATTCAAATCCTTGGCTCCCTACCGTCTTCAACACAAAGCCCAAATTTCTCAAGAGCTTACAGCGCAGGGCTTACAGCACAGGGTTCTTGGTGTTCAGATCCAAGCGTATCTTACTACTTCATGACGCTACCATTAGCCCAACAGGATTCGCCCAATGCCAGGTTTCTCTTGCCTCTGTCTGTGTATGTCTGTACCTCCTCATTTCGCCCACCCAACGCATTTACTGAAAAGTGCCAGACAGGAGAGGGAAACAGAAGATCCCGTTCTTTTTGAAGCTTAACACGGGGACTCAGCTTTTAATCCCCAACAGCCAGAGAAAGTCTTTGGCACAAGAAGCACAAGGCCCTAGAGATCACCCTGCACCCTTCGTCCCGCGCACCCCAAGACCCCGCCCCGCCCTCACCGGCCTCGTAGCCATCATCCCGTTTCTCCCGCTTCACGCGCCGCTCCGAGGGCTCCGCTTGACTTCGTTCGCGACCGTGCGCGCCGCCGCGGGCCTCGGCTTCGGCCCCGCGTCTCCCGCTCCCGCGCTCGCCCCCACGCTCGCGGCTCCGCTTCCGTCGTTCGCCGCCACTGCTGCCGCCGCCGCTGCTCCGATGCTTGTGTTTCTTGTGTTCTCGATGCCGCGGCGGCTGCTCGGTGGCGCCCCCGGTCCCGGCCGCCGCCGTCGTCCCGGCCGCCTCCTTCTCTCCACGGTGCTTCTTTGACGACCCCATGATTAGTGCGTACGTCTGGAGCCGGGCCGCCACCCGAGTCCAGACGACGCAAAATGGGAATAGTTCCGGGTCGTGCGGCCGCCGCTATCCTGTTGCCGGAAACTAAGAGCGGCTACTTCCGGGGCCTGCCTGGGAACATCCAAAGGCTCATGGGAGGTACTAATTGAGACTGCGCGTCCCCTGCTGCCAGGCACTGGCCTCTGCGCATGTACATCTGTACAGGCTACGGAATAGGATCTCGGGTTAGAACTGTAAGAGCTTTAGAATCTTACTAAGCCACCATCTCCGGAGCTAGAAGCTGTTCCCTGCCTTCTTCCCTTTCCACTCTGATAGCCTGGTGGTGCCCTACGCCTCAAGTCTCTCCGTGGGCGTCTCCTTCTCCAATGATTGTCCTCCTTTTAGGCTTCCTGGGACCGGGGATCCATTCGATATTAGAAGATACCGCATGTTTTCTTCATGAAGAAACCAGCTGCAAAAGCCCAGGCTTGCAATAATAAACCAATATTGCCAGCGAATGCTACCGTGATCCCACGTTCCCTGGATTGGTGGATTGGGTCTGGACTGCTAAGGAACACTATGAATTTGTGCCTGTGAACCCCGTGAAATTGAGTGCTGGTTTTTGTTTCTAATTTTCTTTTCATCTTTTTTTTTTTTTTTTCTTTTTAAGATAAGGTCTATATAGGTCTGATTGGCCTGGTACTTGTAGCTCTGGCAGGTCTCGAACCCACCACAGTCCCTCTGTTTCAGCCTCCCGTCTGCTGGAAGTCACTGGGAGGGATTTCAGGAGTGCATGCCCAAGTGCAAGGCTCAGGTGTAAATTGGACAGATCCGTTTTTCTGTTTCTTTTCGGTGGTTTTTTGTTTGTTTGTTTGTTTAAGGCTGTCCCATTAACTATGTGGCCTCATAGTTTATGCCTCCAGGATCACAGGCACAAACCACAATGCTTTCCCAGCCCTTTTTCTCTTGCTGGGTTTTTTGTTTGGTTGATTGCTTGTTTGGGTTAGTTGCTCCTCTGTGGGTTTCCTGTGTAGCACACCTTGGCATGTTTTGGTGTGGTTTTTGTGCTCCTTTACAGCTCTGCTCCACGTCTGAGAGTCAGAGAGAGAGAGACAGGGTCCTGTTCACTAGCGTTTCTAGGTCCCCAGGTATATGTATGTTGGAGAAAGCATAGAAAAGTCTTCAGCTGATTTCTTTCCAAGTGCCCCACTCAGTAGCAGAAACGGCATGTGTTTGCCGAGGAAGGGATGTAGCCCGCGTTCACAGCATATATAGGAAATAGCTAAGTTCAGGCCACCCACTTACAACTACCTCTCCTCCAACGCATAACCAACTCACACCATACTTGCCATAAAGCATTTAATTTTTATCTCGGGGGCTGTGCTCTGGGTCCAGAGTCGGGGAGGGGAGTTCCAGGCTGGCTGCTGGTGGGTTCTATCTTTGGGGGGCTCTAAGAAGAGGGCTCCATTTCTACTCCAAATGACCGGTGGCTCCTTAAAAGACACAGATGGAGGCCATTGGGCTCCATAGCACACACACACACAACCATGCCCAATGCAGCCTTTTACCCTGTGGGTCCCTGGGAAGTGACACCCCTCCTGCAGCCTCGGGGTTTTGTTTTTGTTTTGTGTTTTACTGTGAAGTGAATCTTGCAATTCCTGCTCTATACCAGGTTATTTATTCTAAGATGTCAGGGACAATATTCCATAGGCTGACACTATGGCACCAGCTGCTTGGCATATCTTGCTCAGAGTCCCAGACTAGCTTTTCTGCTTACTTGTTCCTGTGTCCTCAAGTAAGGTCCTACTCCCCTGGTCTCATTGGAAGGTGGGAACCATAACCCTGGCCCATCTTGCTGGATGATGGATGTGAGAGCACTAGAAGGACGGGAGGCTGGTGTGAGTGCCTTGTCCCACCTCACCTGTGCTTCCGAGAGGTGCCCTCTGCACTGCCTGCCTCAGCCAGCAGCTGTTCTTCATCTACTCCCAATGCTGACAGCACCTGGGAGAATCGACGATTTGCTGTGAGCCTGGCATTGGTCTGATGAGAGAAAGGGAAGGTTCCTATTCTTCACCAGCACTGCTGGGGTCACTGTAGGACTCTGGTTATTAAGAAAAGGATCCCAGGCCTTCTTAATAAGTGGACCCCACTCCAACTTTGTTTCATTGTGAGGCAGCTCCTGCCAGTAGGGGGTGGGGGTGCTGTTTGCCTGCACAGGTGTTAGCCCTCACCTGCATGGCCTGCTGGAACAGGAAGGGCCGGGCCTGCACCCTGTGCTGGATGCCCTGCAGCTCTGTCTGATACTCAGCAAAACGCTGTCGCTCCTTGCGCCTATGAGAAAGACAGGCCTCTGGGCAGCTAAACATGGACACTCCACAGGCCAGAGGCTGCTGGTCCTCATTGAAGCTTATTAATATAAAGGTGTCCCCTGACTTACAAAACCATTTCATTCCCATTTTGGACCTGTTGTATTTCTTGGGTGGGATTATTAGGGTGGGACTTATTTGTCCCGTTTTACTGATGGCTCAGGAAGGTCACAGGGACTTGTTCAATATAGTAGGATTGAGCACCTCTCCCAAGTTTAGGCTGTGCATCCAGGGCTTGCCCTACGTTCGGGCCACCCCCAAAGGAAGGATCAGTCCTGGCTTCTGAACTGCTTGCACAGCCTCTCTCTTCCTAAAGCTCATCCCCTTATTCTCCCCCATCTTGCAACTTAAGAAATGACAGAGTATTGCAAATAAAAGAACATCTCCCAAAGCTGGGCCTGGTGGCTAACATTTGGAAAGCTGAGGCAGGAGAATTGCCTGAATTCAAAGCCAATCTTGGCTACAAAGTAAATTCCAGGCTAGTCTGGATTGCACAGTGAAACTTTTTTAAAAAACAAAAAACAAAAAGATCTGAACTGCACTGGAGAAAAACCTATTTACAAAAGTCAGCTTGAGGATGTTTAGATGGCTCAGCAGGTCAATGTGCTTGCTACACTTAAGGCTGGCAGCTTTGGCTTAAGCTCCAGAGCTCACTGAGTTGTCCTTTAACTGTGCTTTGGCATGAGCGCCTTCTCCTCTCACACAATGCACTTACCTGTGATTTCAGCATTCGCCAGGCACATGTGTTAGGACAAGCTTTTATACGACATGTGAAGATATCTCTGTTTCATTTCACTGCCTAAGGCCATGGTTGGTTTAATAAAGAACCAAATGGCCAATAACTAGGCAGGACTTTCAGGCAGGGATAGGAACTCTGGGAAATAATCTGAGGCAGGAAATTCACCAGCCAGATGCAGAGGAAATTGGCCATACAGAACTAACAAGCCATGTGGCAGAACGTAGATTAATATAAATGGGTTTTTAAAGTTTTAAGAGATAGCTAGAAACAAGCCTAAGCTAAGGCCAAGCTTTCATAATTAATTTTTTAAAAATGTCTGTGTCATTATTCAGTCCAAAGACCTGTTACACAGAAGTAGGAAGATCAGAAATTATCTTCTGCTACATAGTTCCAGTCCAACTTGGGCTACCTGAGACTACAAATCTGCTCACCCAGCCCAGTGTTAACACTGCTTTCTGGCCTCCCATTCCTCACAGGACTAGACATCTGTCAGTTAATGCACAGAAGATATGCCCAGCATGGAGTGGCAGAAGCCACAGACGGGGTGAAAGGGATGAGCAGACAAGACCTGAAACTTGTGCTAGGCTCTCAGGTGTGTATGTTGGGAAGGCTCTTTCATGCTAGGCCTGGTGCTCAGGAAGGAAGTTTCCTCCCTAGAGGAAAAAAAATACACTGGGAAAAGCATGCCAGCACCATTAGCTCCATTAAGAAGAGCCTTCACCAATCAAAAGAGATGGTTAGTGGTTACAAGTGTGGAGGTTTGCCTTTTTCATGAGTCCTGTGTACTTTTTTTTTTTTTTTTTTTTGACACAGGGCCTCACTATATAAACCAGGCTAGCCTGGAACTCCCGCCCTAGAGCTGGGACTAAAGGTGTGTGCCACTGTGCTGGCATCTTATATTCTTAGACAGGATCTCTCACTGAACCTGGAGCTCACCAGTTTGGCTAGACTGAGTGGTCAATAAACCTCCTGAGCATGAGGTATACACAGCTGCACTTGGTTGATGTTTTTAATTAAAGGAAAAAAAAAGATGCTAAGGATCCAGCCCAGGTCATCATGCAACAAGTATCTGCTGGCTAAGTTGTCTTCCAAACATCTATTTAAAGCTGGGCATTGGTGGCCCACACCATTAATCCCAGCACTCGGGGGCAGAGGCAGGTAGATCTCTGTGAGTTCGAGGCCAGCCTGGTGTACAGAGTGAGTGCCAGAACAGGCTTGAAACCAATACAGAGAAACCCTGTCTCGAAACACCCCCCCCCCCAGAAAAAAATCTATTTAATTAGGTTTTGGAGACCAGATTGTGCTTTGTAGTCTAGGCTAGCCTGAAATGCATAATCCTCCCGTCTCAGCCTCCTAAATGCCAGGATTGCAGGCATAGACCATCATGCCTAGCTTGTTTTGTTTTTGAAGCAGTCTGGTAGGGGTCGTTGAGGTCTCCTATATGCTCAAGCCATGTCCAATGAGACAGTTCACTTCCTGTTGCCTGTACAAAGTATAGAACTCTTAGCTGCTTCTCCAGCACCATGTCTGCCTGCATATTGCCATGTCCCACCATTGAAGATAATGAACCAAACCTCTGAACTGTAAGCCACCCATTAAATGTTTTCCTTCATAAGAGTTGCTCTAGTCATGGTGTCTCTTCACAGCAATAGAAAACCCAACTAAGACAGTAACCAAATAAATGCCAGGGCTTACTTCAGACCTTGGTAAATCATTTAAACTTGCTACTCTCTGGGCCTCCATTTCTCCTTTGTAGTACTATGTGGATATTGGTACTACCTAACTCATGGCCCTTTAGGAAGAACTGCTTGATTTGTGAAGTTGTTTCCTAGAAATATAGTCTACATATTTAATCCAGCCCTTGGGGGCAGGAGGATTGCTCAGAATTTGAGGTCAGCTTGGTCTGTATAGTGAGTTCCAAGATAGCCTGAGCCACCAGGATGAGTCCCTATCTCAAAAGAGAAAAAGAGAGCTGGGCAGATAGTGCCTTTAATCCCTGTACTTAGAAGACAAGTGGAAGGATCTCTATGAAGCCATGTGTACTGCTGACTTCCAGGCCAGCCAGGGGTACATGAAGAGACCCTATCTCAAAAGGGGGCAGTGAAAACATGGAAAGATAATGAAATACATTATTCCAGCTGACCAGGCATACTACTTGTCTCTAGGAGTAGAGTCCCTGGAACTATTTAGGGGACAATCAACTATTTTTAAAATCTTCAACATTGTAAATATACATATTTTATATATATGAGTGTTTAGTCTACATGTATTTAAGTGTACCACACATGTGCCTGGTGTTTGCAGAGGTTAGAAGAAGAGGTTGTTGGATTCCTTGGACTGGAGTTACAACCCAGTAAGTTACCATGTGGGTGTTGGGAACTGAACCCAGGTCCTTTGTAAGGATAGCAGGCTCTTACCCACTTTTCAGCCACTCAACATTTTTTTTTGTTTGTTTGTTTTTGTTTTTTGTTTTTTGAGACAGGGTCTCCCTGGCTGGCCTATAACTCTCTAGACCAGGCTGACCATAGCAATTTACCTGCCTCTGCCTCTCTGCCTCCAGAGTGTTGTGATTAAAGGTGTGAGTTACCATGTCCAGCCATCCTCTATTTTTATTAACAAGCATGTCTGGCACCAAGAAACCAAAAAAATAAGATTTGAAATCATGACTGTGGGCAGCAGAATGCTTGAACTTGAGGATCTAATATCTGAAGAGGTTGCTATTAATACCTCAATGGTCTTGACCCAGCCCTTCTCCAAAGGCCTCAGCATCTTCATTTGTAAAATGCAGCTAAGTGGCCTGGCCTGCCTGCTGTGCGGTCCTCAGCCTGACACCCAAGCACAGCCTCAGCGCCATGCCCCAGCCAAGCCCTCCAAAGCCTGGCCTCCTACCTCAGCTCCTCTAGTTTGCGCTGAGCAGCCAAGGCCCCTCTGCTCCCTCGGGGTGTGTAGGCTGCCAGGCATCGGGCCACCTGCTGCTGCACCTGATGTTCCCGAGCCCTGCGCATCTCAGCCTGCTGCCGCTCCTCCAGCTGCTGCCGTTCCCAAGCCTGCAGCAGGTTTCTGGTAAGGAAAGGGAGATGTCCATGGAGCATCAGGAAACTCAAGGAAGGTCAGGGTAGCATAGAGGACCATGTAAGCCTTAGCGGAGAGCCTGTGGGAGAAAGTATGTGTCTCAGAGAGCCAAGTTCCTGGGAAACAAATGGCATTTGTCATGGAAGCCAGGCTTCATGGAGCCTGAAAATGGTGGCTTACAACCAGCTTAAGGCCTTTCCCTATTGTTCAGCACTGAGATCCAGTTCTTTATGTTATTGTTGTTTTGTTTTTTAGGCAGGGTTCCTCTGTGTAGCCTAGAGCCTGTCCTGGAACTTGCTCTGTAAACCAGGCTGGTCCGAATCCACAGAGATCTGCCTGCCTCTGCCTCCTGAGTGCTAGGATCAATGGTGTGCACCACCACTGCCCAACTTGAGATCTAGTTCTTAACACTGGACTCAGGCCTCCTGAACACTGTAGAGCTCAACCTAGGCTTCCTGAGCCCTGAAGAGCTCAGCACACAGCCTGGGACCTTTTTGCGTTGCTCACATTACCTTGCCCAGCGGCTGTCTTTAAGAAAGGACCAGATCTCTAACTACTTTATTTGACAGCACCTAGGTTAAAGTGCCTAACAGTTTGAGGCAGAGTTGGATGGATTGACAGTCAGGTAGTTGTATGAATAAATGTGTAGGAAAGAATAAAAATGTTGAAGGGATCAATATGTGAAGGAACATGTAGGCAAAAGTATGGATAGCTGACCAGCAACTAAAGAAACCTGGAGCATTCCTCCCCAGAGATCATGGCCAGTTGTTTCTCATCAGTATGTCTTTGGAGAAATGTCATTTCTCCCAGAAAGACTTCCCCTTGGCTACTCTGTCTCCTTTGTAGCAATTTCTTTCTGTAGCTACATACATTGTTCATTTAATTTCTTATGTATCCCTGACTGGCCTTGACTCTTTCTGTAGCTGAGAATGACCTCAATAAACTTCTGGCCCTCATGCCTCCACCTCCAGAGTGCTGGGATTCCAGGCTGCACCACCACACTGGGCTTTAAAGCTATCTTAACAGAAAAAAGAACTAGAAATGTTATATGCCCTGATTTTGTAAGAAACCATTAAACTGCCAGGTAGCGGTGGTGCTCGCCTTTAATCGTGGTGCTCGCCTTTAATCTCAGTGCTCAGCGGGCAGAGGCATGTGGATCTCATGAGTTTGAGGACAACCTACCTGGTCTACAGAACAAGTTCCAGGCCAGCCAGGGCTATACAGAGAAATCTTGTCTCAGAAAGCAAAACAAAAAAAAAAAAAAATAATAATTAATTAGTTAATTAATTAAAAGTACAAAAGAAAGAAAGAGAATGATCCTGACTCAGAATAGTAGGAGAGAACCAGAGGACGAGCTCCTGCCACTGTACATACATTCCCATGCATGGTGATATACGCCTGTAATCCTAGAACACAGCAGTGTGCGGTAGGAGGATTACAGCAAGTTGAATGCCAGTTAGGGGACATAGGTAGTACCAGACATGGTAGTTGTGGCTAAATAGCAAGACTTGTCCGGAACAAAACAACTGGCAAAAGAGATCCACTGTCAGTGGGGCGTCGGTGGCGCACGCCTTTAATCCCAGCACTCAGAAGGCAGAGGCAGGCGGATCTCTCTGAGTTCGAGGCCAGCCTGGTCTACAGAGCTAGTTCCAGGACAGGTTTCAAAGCCACAGAGAAACCCTGTCTCCAAACGACCACCCCCCCCCAACGAAAAAAAAAAAATGAGATCCACTGACAACAAAGGTGACAATGGAGAAATGGAAGGAAGCCTTTGCTCATAGTAGGTGAGAATATAAAAACAGTATAGAAGAGATGGGGACACGGTTCAGGGTTTTAGAGCACGTGTTTCTCTTCCAGAGGACCCAGGTTCAATTCCCAGCACCCACATAGGGTCTCACAGCCATCACAACTGCAGTTCGGGGAACATATACCCTCTCCTAGGCCTCCAAGAGCACCAGACATGCACGTGGGTTCACAGACATGCATGTAGACAAAACACTCATTCGCATGAAATAAAATAAAAGAGCTGGGAGATCAGTGGTTAAGAGCACTGAGTGCTCTTCCAGAAGACTTGGGTTCAATTCCTAGCACCCACGTGCTAGCTAATTAATAACCAACTCCAGTCCCAGGAGACCCAGTGCCCTCTTGAGGCCTTTCTGTTCATGAAGCACACTCGTGGCACAGAGACATGCATGCAGTCAAAACACCCACACACATAAAATAAAAATCATTTTTAAAAAAGTGTAAGAAGGGGCTGGAGAGATGGCTCAGAGGTCAAGAACATTGACTGCTCTTCCAGAGGTCCTGAGGTCAATTCCCACCAACCACATGGGGGCTCACAACCATCTGTAATGAGATCTGATGCCCTCTTCTGGTGTACAGGCAACCATGCAGACAGAACAGTGTATACACAATAAATAATCAAATAAGTAAATAAATAAATCTTTAAAAAAAAAAAAAAGTATAAGAAACAAGCCAGTCAGATGTGATGGCATATGCCTTTCTCAGCATTTTGGGAGGCAGAGGCAGGCAGATCTCTAGTTTGAGGCCAGCCTGGTTCATAGAGTGAGTGAGCCCCAGGACAGCCAGAGCTACACAGAGAAACAAATCTACCCTACAATATGGTGTTTATGATTTTTTTACAACACACTGTGTATTTAAAAATCACTAAGAGATTAAATGTAGGTGTTCGTAAAAAAAAAAGTATGTGTGGCAATACACATTTTAATTAGTTTGATATAGCCATACATCGATACAATTTTTAACTAATGAAGAATAAATCTGTAAGAAAGGGTTATAGAGGGTACTATGAGAATCTGATGATCAAGGGTGATGGTGCAGGTCTGTAATCCCAACACCCAGACAGAGGCAGAAGGATCTACAAGGATCTTTCAAGGTAGCTCCAGCTGCATGGTAAGTTCAAGGCCAGCCTAAGATACTTGAGACCATGCTTCAATTACTTCCCCTCATCAGAAAAAAAAATAATAATGCTGAATGAATTTGAATTTGCCTCTCCCTCACATGCCACATCTTGTCAGTCCCCAAGACCCATTAAGTCAGACTCTAAAAAAAAATCTCAGAACTAGACCAGCAAGATGGCTCAGTAGGTAAAGATGGCAAGCCTGACAATGTAAGTTCAGTTCCTCAGACCCACATGGTGGAAGAGGGGAACTAACTCCCTCAAGTTGTGTTCTGACCTTCACACCGATGCTGTGGTACTCACGTGCCTGCACATGTAGACAATAAATAAGTATAATTATTTTTAGCTCTCACTGCTGAGGATATAGCTCACTAGTAGAGCCAAGAGTTCTCAAGACCCTGGGTTTGATCTCCAGTACACACACACACACACACACACACACACACACACACACACACACACACAAACTAGGTCTTTAGAGAACTCCAGTGGGTCCCCTTCTTGCCATTCACACTGACGCATGGTTCAGGCCCTCATTATCCCTTGGCCAAGAGTTGTCTCCTTGCCTCCAGGCTTCTCTGAGCCCATGGTCACTTGTTCTGGCCCAAGTGTAGTAACTGGAACTAAACGCACAATGGCCATTCATATCCTTTTTTAGACCTTGAATGTCTCAGGACTGGCCCAAGTCTTCCTCCTTCCTATTCTGAGGACTCACAAGAAGTCACTTCAATATATGTTCCATTAATAGGCTGGAGGATGGATAGGAGGAAAGAAAGGAATGTACTGGCATGTGTCAGTACAGTAGGGCAAGCAGACATGGACGTTATTACGAGGAGGATGGGTGGATGATCTGAAAGCCTGGTGAATGAGTAAAAGAATGAACTCGAAAGAGACTGTCACCTGTAAAACTCTGCCTGTTCCTCCCTACCCACCCATCCCCTCAGTCCTTGTCTACTTCCTCTTTCCTCACCTGGTGGCCTCCTGTCGTTTATGGAAGGTGCGATTAGGGAAGTTGGCAGACAAGAAACTTTCGTCATCTCCCAAGGTAGGGGTCTTCCTATTTCTGGCAGAGGCCTGGACAGCTGCCCGCAAAGCATTCCAGGTCTGCTTTTGGGGACCTGTCCAAGGGAAGATTTAAGTCCGGGTCACACTCTCTCCTGGGTCACTGGGCAATCCCACCCAGCACCCAGACAACACCTCGCCCACCCCAGCCTGTACTTCCTATCCCCACTGCCACTGCCCTAACCCTCTCTGAGGGCAGGTCTCCCACAGTGTTCCTCAGGTCTTTCAGCTGCACTCACCACAATCCAATTCCTCTTGTAACTGCTTGTGTAGCCGCTCCAGGTCCCAGGGCCCCTTGAGCTCCTTGGCTCTTGACTTCCCCCTCTGCGGCTTTAGGAGGCTGCTGAAGCTGGAGCTGCTTCTCTGGATGTGGCCCTGTTGCTCCCCTTCTTCTGACGCCTTTTCTCCAGAATTCCTTCCCTTATTATGAGAGCTGCCCTTCCTCCTTTGGGGGGCACTGTGTTCCTCCTCCTCTGTCACCTCTGAGATCCACTCCTCCTCCCAGATCAAGCCCCTCCCTGGGATCTGGGGCCGTTCCCCAGGGCTCTGAACCCTCTCTGCCTCCTCAGCCTCCTGGCTTTCTACCTCTGAGACATCCTCAGACTCTGACCCTGATGCTTTTCCTGGTGAGCAGAAGCCACCCTGGCTGCATCGCTCCAGCCCTTGGCTTTCTGCTTTGCCCACAGGGAGGGCGATGCTGGTCCAGCCTCCTGGCTGATGTCTCCTCTCCAGGGTTTGCACTTCTGTCTTCTGGCTGAAGCCAACATCTTCTGAGAGGCTGGCTACTGACTTGCGCTTGGACTTGAGCTGGGGGGCTGCTGGGGGCAAAAGCAGGGATCGGTGGCCAGGGGCCACAGAGGAACTTGGTTGAAGCAGAGCCTGGCCATCTATGATGAAGCTTTCCCAGGCCCACTGGAAAGGGAAGGAAGGCTTCCGAGAAGGTGCAGTGAAGAGACTGAAGGAGAGGGCAGGAGTCAGAGTGAGGATCCTCCTCCTCTGGGCCCCAGTCCATCCCCCAGTCCACCCCCAACCACTTACTCCTCTGCCTCAGCTGAACCTTGTCCTTTCTTGGTCCGCCTCCGGGGCTTGCGTTCCTTCTTTGCTGTCTGTCCTGCACTCTGAGACCTCTGCAGCTGGCAGCTCTGACTCTGGAGGCTATCACCACTCCCAAGGTTCCCCTGGGCAGGACAGGGGAAGAGGGCCACTCCTATAGCACTTAGCATCTCCCTAGTGGCTTCCTCTCTTTGCACTCTGTCCCAGCCATGGCTGTCCCAAAACTCCCTTGATTGCTCCTTACCTCTTCTGTTAAAATACCAAGAGCTGCAGGTCCAGGCTGGGGAGGTGACTCAATGGGTGAAGGCAACTGTCACTACAGCTAACAACCTGAGTTTGATCCAGGGGACCCACATATAGGAGGAGAGAGCCAATTCCCACCTGTTGCTCCCTGACCTCCATTTGCACAATTCTCTCTCTCTCTCTCTCTCTCAAGCTGCAGACCCTTGGGCACCAGACCTTTAGGCACTTACATATTTGACTTTCCCAAAGAAATGCCTAAGGAAGTGGAGGCTTGTTTTTACCCATTTGCAGGCAAAGAGTTAGGCTCTTGCACTTCTAAGAGCAGAGGCCACAAGGCTGGTGAGTGGTGATGCTAGGACTCACACATGTTGTCACGGTTTCCAAATCCCAAATTTGTCACCATTGAACTCTGCTGTGAGAGAATGTCCAAATGTTCCCAACACACAGAGATGATAATTGTCCTGATTTGATTGTGTATAAGGATTATTATACTGTTCCCCATTAATACATATTATATTGTTGTTGCTGTAAGTTTTTGTTGTTTTGTTGAGATAGGGGCTGAGGATGGTCTCAAACTCACTGTATAGCTGAGATTAGCTTTTGGTTTTTGTTTTGTTTTGGTTTGGTTTTTTTGAGACAGGGTTTCTCTGTGTAGCCCTAGCTGTCCTCAAACTCACAGAGATCCGCTTGCCTCTGCCTCCTGAGTGCTGGGATTAAAAGGTGTGCACCACCACGGAGTGGCTGCGGATAGCTCTGAACAACTGACCCTCCTGTCTCCACCTCCCGATTGTGAGTTCTAGGATAGCCCAGGTAATTTTGGTAGGAGCTTGTCAAACAAACAAACAAACCATCTATCACTACTACCTTCCAAAACAACAATAACAAAAGCTCACATTTTGGGGGGGATGTCACACAGGACTCTGGACGTAGTGTAACAAAAGTAGAAGGAAGGAAGTTATTTTATTTCCTAAAAGCCCTTTTTTTCTGTGGTGTACCCAGATTGCTCCGCCTGTTCTGTCTGGTGCTTGCCCCAGATTGTCCTAACTGTTATCAGGACCTGAGCTCTAGTCTTATGTTTCTTCAAGAGCCTCAGCCAGCCCTAGCTTCTCTAGGCTAAGATGCTGCTGGGCAGTTGGAAGTTCCCCAACTGGGCCTGCCTCCCTCACCTGCTCCTCCGGAGAGATGCTTGATAGAAGTTTGAACAGCCCTGTGGCTGTCACTGGAACCAAGGGCTCTGTGCTGTGTCTTGGTCTCTCCGATATGGCCCTGGCCAACAGTTGGTCAGTGTTTAGCATATTGGTACCCTGCCCTTTTCCCTACCTACCAGCTCTGGAACTGCCCTCTCTGCCATCTCCATGACAACCAGGCTATGACCAGTCAAATGGCCCTAGCAAAAAGTAATAGGCAGGGGTCAGCCAGAGTGTGTGATGCTGACTTCCCATCAAACATGGTTCAACAGGACCCAGGACTGCACCCTACCTCTGCCCCTGCTACCTACCCTGGAATAAGCTCCCTACCTCTTTAAGCCTATGTTTACCCATCTGTTATGAAAGGGTCGGGTCGTCAGAACTTAATTATCTCAAAGGGCCCTCATGTCCTGATGCCCATGCAATTGGTCCCTAAGGCAGGCCATGTCCCTCAGCCTGCCTTCCCATGGCTGGGCCAGCCCACCACTGCATATTGTTCTACTCAGAGAGGCAGCAAGAGGACAATGGCTGTCCTGACATTTCCTGTGTGTGCCTGTGTGTCTGTGTATTTTGTTTTTGTTATAATTTTTATAGATTTTTGTTTTGCTTATTTTAGACAGTGTGTTGCATGTATCCCTAGCTAGTCTAAAAGTCACTATGTAAGGCTGTCCTCGAACACACAGAGAGCTCTGCCTGCATCTGTTTCAAGAGCACTGGGATTAAAGACATGTGATATCATGTCCAACAAGTTCTCAGCTTTTTCTGTGTGGATGCTGAGAGTCTCTCAGTTCCTTATGCCTCTGTAGCAACTGAGCCACCATCACAGCTTCATCCCCCTTTGTATTTGGTTCTGGGATTAGAACACAAAGCTTCATGACTATTAAGTCACCACTGAGCCACAGCCCTTCCACTGAAGAGTTTTTTTTTCTTACTGTTTTATAGGTTTTTTTGTTTGTTTGTTTCCTTAAACAATGTCTAGTATAGCCCAGGCTGGCCTCAATCTCTGTATGTAGCTGAGGATAACTGACCTTGATCTTCCTGTTTCTCCTCCGAAGTACTGTGTAAACAGACATTTCCTGTTCCCACCATCTGGTCCCAGGTAACTGACTCAGAAGCTTATATTAATTGTAACTGCTCTGCCAACAGCTCAGGCTTATTTCTAACTAGCTCTTACATTTTAAGTTAACCCATATTCTTTATTTATGCTCTGCCATGTGGCAGTACCTGTATTAACATGGCACAGGCATCTCCTGCTCCCTCTATATCTGTCAGAGACTCCTCTGACACTGCCCTACTTCCTCCCATCATTCTCAGATTCTCAGTCTGGCTTTTCTGCCTAACTGTGTATGTTCGGCTATTAGCCAGTCAGCTTGTTCATTAAACCAATCACAGTGACAAATCCATATAGTGTACAAAGAGATTATTCCACAGCATTTCTCTTTTTGTCTAACTAAAAAGGAAGGTTTGGAGCTGGAGAGAAGACTCAGTGGATAAGAGAACTGGCTCTTCTAAAGGACTTGGGTTCAATTCCCAGCACCCATATAGAAACTAAAAACTGTCTGTAACTTCAAGATCTGACACCACCTCACAGACATACATTCAGGTAAAACAACAATGCTCATAAAGTAAAAATAAATAAACAAATAAAAATAAAAGATGGTTTTAAATTTAGCAGTAAGATTATTTACAACAAAAATAGTTATAAAATAAGAATTACAGTAACAATATCCAATCCATTTGTATTTGGCAAAATTAAAGAAAATACTCTATCTTACCTTTGTGAATCCAAAGTTTTGTATCTAATATATCTTTTTGTTTTTCTTTTCTGAGATAGGGTTTCTCTGTGTAGTCCTGGCTGTTCTAGAGCTCATTATGTAGACCAGACAGACCTCAAACTCACAGAGATCCACCTGCCTCTGCCTCCTGAGTGCTGGGATTAAATGTGTGCACCACCACCACCCAGCCTCTAATTTATCTTTTGTCATAACTAGGAAAAACTATGACTATCTAGGCTTCAATGCCATCAAAGACCTCAGAAGGATAAAAAGTTGCCTAATGACAGAGGCATTAGGCTGCCTGGATAATCACCCAAAGTTCCAACTCTGGCTTAGGCCTAGCATATCTGATAGACTTTCCTGTTAAGCAGGGAATTTTGAAGGACTGTCTTGGCCAAGTTCAGCAGTAGCCTTTCTTATGTCCTGTTGGTCCAGTTTGGACAGTAACTCTCAGCAATTGAGGCAAGGGCAGGTTTTTTTTTTTTTTTTTCCACATGGCTAGCATTTGCCATAAAGAAAACAAACTCCATACATAGGTTCTTTAATGCCGGTCATCTTTTCTGAAGTAAATTGGTGCTGCTGGGAGCAGACGTGTTTCACTGGATTGCCTATCTATCTGAAATATATATTTGTATACGTAGGACACCTAACTAACATGACTTTAAATTTAGCTATTATAGATTACTAAATATTAATCTGTACTTCTTAGTTATACATTGCATTTTTTTTTTCATGTATACAGTGTTCTGTCTGCAGGCCAGAAGAGGGCACCAGATGGTTGTGAGCCATCATGTGGTTACTGGGAATTGAATCCAGGACCTCTGGAAGAGCAGCCAGTGCTCTTAAATTCTAAGCCACTTCTACAGCCCCTTTACATTACATTTTTAATTGAGCTGCATAAACACAATACCTTAAACAAGAGTAGAAATATACATATAGTATAACAAAATTAACTTTAAATTTGTATGAATAAACTAAAATCCATACCATTGTAAAATATTTTGAGATTACTGCTGTTTTTCAAATTAAAGTATTCAATAATCTACCCCTTTCCCCACCATTTCTATATCATATCCTCTTCTTTTAGAAAGAGATCTCTGAATTTAATTTTTTTATTTAGTCTTTTTTGTTTTGTTTTGTTTTTATTATGAACAATAACAACTTGTAATCAACTCCCTGTGAATGAAAAAAACTTACAATCAATATTTTGAGAATGAGGGCTTAGTTTTCTGGACTACTTCCTGCTGATTGGAATGCTGGTTTTCTTCGAGGGACCCTGAGAAAATTAGGATAATTGTTAAGTCTTGACTGAAGTATTCTGTGAGGTTAGATCATCACAATCAGTAGCCTTGAAGTTATTTTGGAGGCTGGCTCACCTGGGCCATTTTTATTGGTGCCTGTTTCCCCTGTTTGAAAATATAAACTTTTAAAGGTAACATACATATCTGTATTAATACTAATATAACTTGTGTACATAAGCCAGCCAAAGATAATTTTTTGTTTTATGTTTGAGTAGGTAAAATATATGTCACCTATCCTGTAGTTTTTGTTTGTTTGTTTTGTTTTTTATTTTTTAGATTTTTTTTTATGTTTATAGAGAGGATTTCAGAGGGTATTCCCCAATCCACTTTGATTTTTCTTATGCTTTTGTTTTTTGTGGGTTTTTTTTTTTTTTTTTTTTTTTTGGTTTGTTTGTTTTATTTTGTTTTATGAGGCAGAGTTTCTCTGTGTAGCTTTGGAGCTTGTCCTGGAACTCACTCTGTAGACCAGGCTGGCCCAAACTCACAGAGATCTGCCTGCCTCTGCCTCCTGAATGCACCAACACTGCTGGCTTTTAAATCTTTTTTTTTTTTTTTTAATCTATGATGGTTTCTACCATTTCTGTTCTTTCTCCCAAGCCGATGCACATTTTCCAAACATACTTCTATCCATTTAGAGCTCTTTTTGTCTGAATCTGTCCCTTATTGTATATCTGTAACACTTTTTGTCCATATGGTCAAAAACCCTACATCCACCTCGAGGCATGAATCTGGGAGAGGCCTCTCTGTACCTCCGCCTGTGTAAGACTGAGGGAATCTGCCATACTGCAGCTCAAGCCCAAATGCAGAGGCCATGGGACACATCTCTGTACCGTGAACCTCATGAGAGACATGAACTATGAAGCTGCTCTTGGCTCCATTTTTGTGTGTCTACAACCCTTTTTTAAAAGCTTTCTCAGACTTTATGTGGGTGTCTGTGCCCATATTGGATGCCACGTGTAAACGGATGTTTCCTGTCCTGACCACCTAGTCCCAAATAACCAAGGCAAAGGCTTATATTAATTGTAAAAGCTCAACCAATAGCTCAGGCTTATTACTAACTAGCTATTACATTTTTAAGTTAACTCATATTCTTTTTTTTTAAGATTTGTTTGATTATTATGTATACAGTGTTCTGTCTGCAGGCCTGAAAAGGGAACCAGATCTCTTTACAGATGGTTGAGAGCTATCATGTAGTTGCTGGGAATTGAACTCAGGACCTCTGGAAGAACAGTGTACTTAACCTCTGAGCCACCTCTCCAGCCCTAACTAATATTTTTTATTTATGGTCTGCCATAAATAATGAAGGCACTGCCTTTATTAACATGGCACATTCATCTTCTACACCCTCTGTCTGCCAGAGACAACCCTGGCCACACCCTTCCTTCTCCCAGCACTCTGTTTGACTCTCCTGCCTAACTTTATTCTGTTCAGCTATTGGCCAGTCTGCTTTTTTATGAAACCAATCACATTGACAGATCTTTACTGTGTACAAAGGGATTATTTCACAGCAGTGCTGGGATTATTAGCCTGCACCACCATGTCCAAGTGGAATCTTAGATTATAACTTTCTTCACTGGTTTTGGATCTATTAAAGTTTGTGTTATTTTGTGCCAACTTGAGCATTCCACATTTTTCTAGAAATGTTTCCACCTCACTTAAATTTTATGTTTATTTGTGCTATTCTTTGGTATTTGGATATTTTAAACATCTCTAGGCTCAAGGGTCTAGCTGTGTAACCCTATTGGCTCTGGGAACTGTGGGTTGACTTCATCATTGGGGGAAGCACATGATGAGTAGTTGGAAGATGCCACTGAGGATTAAAGGGTAGAAGAGGATAGAATTATCAAATGAGTAGCTGCAGCTGCTGGCCAAAATACAAACTTTCAATAAAAAGAATAAGCACCCCCCTTTTTTGTTTTTTGTTTTTGTTTTGTTTTTTTGTTTTTTTTTTTTTTTTTTTTTTTGAGATAGGGTTTCTCTGTGTAACAGTCCTGGTTGTCCTGGAACTGGCTTTGTAGACAAGGCTGGCCTC